TCAAGTTTTCGAGCACCATTTCCGGACACTAAGGTATAACGAACCATACCATGTTTTATTAATAGGCAGAGCCATTGTGTTCTACACTAGAAGTAACTAATAATCTTATGGATTTATGGTGGCTTTGTTGAAAATTATAGGCAAGAAGGTGCCGTCTTGGTTGACAATCTTGAAATATCAGACATTGACAGTGTTGTAGATTGGGACAAAAGCGGGGAAGGTGTTGCACTGCTATCCGAGTTTAAGTCGGATCTAAATAGGTACCTGAAAGAGTTGGTCGTCTCTCCTGTTCGATCCCTGGCAGATATCATAAAATTCAATAAAAGATTTGCCAAAAAGGTAAGGTTCCTGTAGAGTCATCTAAGCCTTTGGATTCAAGAAATCAATTCTTGAATCTTGAAGAAGACTGTTTCCTTTTTGTTTTTGATTTTGTAGGAGAAGATTAAGGAGTATAGACAAGAAATTTTTCTTGCAGCTGAAGCAACGGATGGAATCAGGGAAATAGAGAAGGCAGCATTGAGGAACATGACAAGACTGTCGAAAAATGGATTTGAGAAGTTGATGAAGGAGAAGAAGCTGGATGCCATGGTTAGTCCTTGTCCGGACTTTTTGAGTAGTGTTCTTGCCATTGGAGGGTTTCCAGGAATTAGTGTTCCTGCTGGATATGACAGTGAAGGAGTGCCTTTCGGAATTTGCTTTGGGGGTTTGAAAGGCACAGAGCCAAAGCTGATAGAGATTGCTTATGGTTTTGAACAAGCTACTAAAATAAGGAAGCCTCCTACAATTTTAAACAACTAAGAATTGATGATTCAAGATTTTGTTTTTTTCTTGAGGGCCTTTTAATAAGTTTTCCTCAGTACATTTTTGTTAAAAATATCCAGGAAATATTAATTGGACCATGCTCTATGGAATCCAAATGAGTCATAGTTAGAATAGTTTTCTAAAAAGATATATATTTTACAAAGTAATATATATATATATATATTCATTATTATATAATCTATTAATAAGAATACAGAAATATAGAGTAACTTAAACTTATAATTTTTCATTAAAAAATGTACTATAATTGTTAAAAATTATTAAATATATTTACCTGATGTGGATCTATCTAATCCTTTGAATTTTAATCATCTCAGAACCAAACCTATACATATGGTGAGAATCATTTTCATACATTTATGACCCCCTAAAAGAGCACTCAGCATTTACTCCTTTTTCACATGCATTGAATCTCCCCTATCCATCTATGTCATATAAAACGGAAGGGTAGACAGAGAACAATAATGGTGATAAAACACAACTTCAAAAAAAATATCAACAATGGCGAAAACTAAACTATTCAATTTCAAGGGTATAATTCTTCTCTTCCTCTGCATCGCATTTGTTCATACACATGGCGGCTACCATTCACAGAGCGTTCCATTACCGTCGACCATGCAAGAGAAAATCACCAACCTCCACTTCTTCATGCACGACATAGTAGGCGGCCAGAACCCAAGTTCAGTCCGCGTCGCCAAAGCAAAAGGAAGCTCGGAGCAGCTGGGTGAGTTCGGCAACCTGATGGCGATCAACGATCCGTTGACGGTGGGTCCTGAGCTGAGCTCGGGAGTGATTGGGAATGCGCAGGGGCTGTACGTGTTTTCTGACAGAAGTGAATCAAGCTTGGTGGCGTACTTTGATTTTGGGTTCACGGCGGGGGAATTCAACGGCAGCTCCATTAGTATGATGTCGAGGAATGTGGTGTTGAATGCAGAGAGGGAGATGGCGGTGGTTGGTGGCAGAGGTAAGTTTAGGATGGCGAGAGGTTTTGCTGAGCTTAAGACTTGCTCGATGAATAGTACAGAAGCCATTGTTGAGTATAATGTCATGGTTTTTCATTACTGAGTTTTGTATTTGAATAAAAGGAAAGATGAGAGAATAGTAGGCTACATTTATCTTATTCCTGTTTCTAACATCATAATCCAATTGAACACAACCAAATTTTCTACTCAAACTTACGATTAATATATATATATATATATATCTATCATCTTGTATCACATATAGCTAGTAGATTTCTTTGATTAATATATATCAAACATTATGACTGATGATTAAATATTATAGATAATTTATAATATATTTTATAAAATCATGATATTCAAATAGTATGCGTGAATATTAACCATCAGATTATTATCTTAATAGTAATTATAGAATATTTTTTATAATTTACGCAAGACTATTTATTATATAATAAAATTCAGTAATTACTTGATTATATATATATATATATATATATATATGTAAATATGGTCTCTATATAATGTATGTGAGAGAGAGATGATTAAAAAGAAAAAAGAAAAATATGGAAATAGGTAGCAAGAGCTCAGTCCAAAATGGGAAGATTGTAAAGCAGGCCTTGCTCAATTTTTAAAACCCAATGAAGGACGTGACTAAGTGGACTGAGCCAAACCGACCCATTAGTTTCTGTCTGGCATGGTCCAATCTGTAACATTAATTAATTGTATAATATAATAAATTATTTGATGTTTCTGTCACAATATATGGCAAATCATTGGCAGTAAAAATCAATCTTAACAGGTCAAAAACACTAATGTGAAGAGTACCAACGAAGAGAGGAATCGGCCAAACGATTCCTGGGTCTTCTTCCCCTGCTCCTCTGCATCGCCGGAGCAGAAGAAAACCATCAAACTCCGTTTCTTCTTCCTCGTCGCCGGAGCAAAAAGAAGCGTTCGGCAACGTGCAAGAGTCAACTTGTGAGGCTGCTCTGTTAGGTGCTAATTAGACGTGCAAGAGAGGAGGAAGAGGAAGAGGAAGAGAAAGAAATAATAGTTATAATTGTCCTCTTAAAGATTTGATTTTTAAGATTGTGTGAGGATTTTATCACATGAGTTTTCGTGCATAAAAAAAAAAATTCAGATTCTCCTTGATTAATTTTAAAGATATACTTGACATAAATTAGACAATCTTTTAATACATAAATTATATAATCAACTTAGGGATAATGATACAGTTAATACACTATGAATGAATATAAGAAGAAAATAATAGAAGAAATTAAGAGCTCTATAATCTCTCAAAATGAAATCCATGAGGACCCAGATTTAAATAGTAGGTTACCAAATGCACTTATAGATTACATGTACAAAATAATATATATATATATATACATATATATTCAAATACAAAAGAAACCCATATGTATTACTTAGATGCACGTTTATATAAAATAAAGTTTAAAGATTTTTTTTTATATATGCACCAAATATAATCAAATTATTTTCTAGAATCATAACAAACACACTTACAACTACTCCAAATTTTGAACACGGACCCTCTATCCTTGGAAAATACAGTCAGACTGAAGAAAAATAAAACATTAAAGTGGTTCTATATATATACGTATACGTATCTATATGTATATATATAGAAATTAGTTTAACTCCCTTTGAATCATAGGCATAACCTTTTAAACACAATTCAATTTTTCTCGTTGTAAAAAGTCTAATTTCTTATCTCCTCCAAATTCCTCTGTGCAATCTTCTTCAAACTTGCAGAGACGGTGATGGCGAGATTAGCCCCAACTAGGGTTATCCTCATGATCATCTGCTTGCTTGCCTCCGTGCCATGGTGGGCTCATGGCTCTCACGCAGTGAGCTGGGCCAAGAAGACGAGTCTCGAACCCAAAAAGAAGACCGTCACAAACCTCCAATTCTATTTTCACGACATACTCAGCGGCCAGAACCCGACAGCCATCAGGGTGGCTCAGGCCGCCGGCACCGACAAATCCCCCACCTTGTTCGGAGTTGTGATGATGGCCGATGATCCATTGACGGAGACACCGGACCCGAAATCGAAGCTTCTGGGTCGGGCTCAGGGAATTTATGCTTCGGCGGGTCAAGAAGAGTTGGGTCTGCTCATGGCCATGAACTTCGGATTCTATGATGGGAAATACAATGGCAGCTCTATAAGTATTCTGGGGAAGAATAATGCGGTGCATCCGGTGAGAGAGATGCCGATTGTCGGCGGCACCGGGATTTTCCGGCTGGCACGCGGCTATGCGGTCGCGAAGACATATTGGTTTGATGCTAAAACCGGTGATGCTATAGTTGGCTACAACGTTACGGTTATCCATTAAGATCTTGATCTATAAACACACACACACACATATATATATATATGCTAATTGATTTTTTCATTTAGCTATTTATCAGTCGTTCTCTTTTTGATATTTCACGATTATGAGACATCATGGTTTTTCTAGTTGTACTTCTTAAATAAAATTTCATGTTACATGGTTTTAGGTGTGAAGGTATCTTGTATCAAGACACTTTTTAATTGAATTTTTACATTAAACCTGTTGAAATTAGTTTATAATTTTAAAAATTTACGTTAAACTCATTCAAAGTAGTGATTTGTAATCTTAATTTTTTACGTACGTCTCGAAGAAACATGCACTTTGATGATGTCCCGCCCAGGAAAGAGACTCGAGAGTCCTAATAACCCCGCTAATTCAATATAGATTCTACATCTTGAAACCAAGTCAATTTTGGAGCCGCACTGTGATAATAGAACCAACCAACCAACAAAAAAGCATTAAGACTGCAAAAATCAATGCACCAATTGCAGCATAATAGAGTGTTGCAATTTACTAGTTATTCGCCAAACCCTGAAAAAGAGATTATTTGCATTCCTCGTAAACCTCCGCCCTCATCGCCATCCAAGATTTTGGGTAAAATTAGAAAGTAATATTAACAAAAATTAAAATTTAATGATTAAACATAAAACCCACATTTTAAAAATACTTTAAAAAATTTTGACTTACCCATAAATTTAAAAGAAAGTATCTTTAGTTATACAAAAAAAAAAAAAAGAAAAAAAAAAATTCAACCTTAGTTTTAGTCAATTAGTAAATACTTGTTTTCTAATAAATTGACTTATTTATTTTTAATTAGCATAATTTCCATAATAACTAATTAAGTGGGTAACCTAATCTTAGATATTTTGATGTTAATGTCAAAATTCAACAACCTAATTTATGAAAGGTGGCCTAATGCTTTTGATGACTTCCCCTCCAATACGATCAAATTTCCAATCCTCCTCTTCTATAAAATATATGCACCCCACAATTAGAAACTTTCACCTTATATTTAAAACAAGTTTTAAATTTTTGTAGAATTTATTTTGTAAGTTCACACTTAATCAATTAAAAGATTATGAAAATTTTTAATGATTTAATAATAAAAATATATTTTATTTAGACATAATACATTAAAGAAACCTCTGTACTATTCAAACAAATTTAAATACTATTTTTTCGACTTAAATACAACATGAACTTTTAAATTTTCTCATAATAAATCTTTACCATTAACAGTATACTTAACATTATTAGACAAATATACGTGTAGTAACTGATACATCTATATGAATATCATATTTTAAAATTATTATTAGTGTTACAATTACGTGGTTGTCATAATGATATTTATTTTCTTTTTTATCTTATTTTTAAATAGTTTTAACTTAAATATTAAATTTTTAAGAGATAAAAATAAAAAAAAAATTCTTTAATGTCCATGTTACTCAAATGCTTTTCAATCACTTTCTAAACGCCATCACTTATTTTAATAATATTTAAAAATATATTATTATAAAAAAATAAATAAATTAACAACGATAGAACCAATCACGTGATTGTTATATTGATAGTATTTTTTAAATTTAATATCCACGTAAACAAATTTTTTTATTATGTAAATATTTATATAATAGTGTTAAATATGCAGTTAGTTACTAATAAAGATATTTCTGAAAAAAAAAATTAGAAGTGTAAGTTTTTATGTGGAATAAGAAATTTAAATTTAAAATTCTATAATATTTTCGAATGTATTATTTTTGTATATGAAATTTTATAAGAGACTAATTTTATTATTTCCTAAAAAAATATATCTATTCCTTGAAATTAACTATAATTATACAAAGAAAAATACACATAAAATTTCATAATTTGTTCAAAAGATGGCTCATAAATGAATTCCCATTCCTACAGAAAGCTAACCAATTCCATGCAAGTGCGCGCGTACAATGGGTGCCTTCGAAATTCTAACACCCTGGAAAAACAAAACGCAGCCGTTTCTAAAACAGGCTTCTTTAAAACAAAACGCACCGTTTTTAGTCGCCACCGGGCAATTCATGCCATTAACCCGACCTGCGCAGCAAGTTCTTAATAATAACTGATCTCTCTGGGAAAATTGATGATCATAATCTCACATTATCCAATCTTCTCAGTTCTACCCACAAAGCCCGGAAATCAAATCCTAACTGTTTTACCTCCAAAAAAATTAAAATATAAAAAATCCTAAACCGTGTCGTAAATGGACAACTAGCTATGCGTATATTATATATATACACATACACATCTTTCTCGCTCGGTATATAGTCTCCACATGGATCCTACTTAATTTTCTCTGTCAAAAGATCTTCATCAGATTGCTCGGTCAAGGTACTCACGGGGTAGTGCATCTCGCCGTCAAAAGTAACGCCGGCAATCCCCAGTATGTCGCCGTCAATTCTTCCTCTTTATCCAAGTGCAGCTCACTCGTCAAGGAGAATCGCGTTCTCTCTAAATTCACTGGGTACCCGAACGTGATTCAGTGGTATGGGAATGAGCTGAGCACGGACGCAAATGGTTTCCAGGTTTACAGGTTGATTCTCGAATACGCACCGCACGGCACTCTTCTCGACTTGATAAGAACCTGCGCCGGCATAGTACCCGAACCCATTGTCCGGTCATTCAACCGGATGATTCTCGAAGGGCTCGCTTGCATTCACGACAAGGGTGGTTTTGTCCACTGCGATCTTAAGCCAGAGAATATTCTTGTCTTCCCTCCAGTCGATGGGAATTCGCTGTGCCATCTCAAGATTGCTGATTTCGGGTTGTCAAAGGAGCCTGGAGAAGAGGAGTTGGAGGCTGCGGTCGGCGTGAGTTGGAAGTTTAATTTCAGGGGAACTCCAATGTACATGTCGCCGGATTCTTTGAAGAACGGAAGCATAACGCCGTCGCTTGATATCTGGTCTCTTGGGTGCGTTGTCATGAAGATGCTCAGTAATAGAGCGCCGTGGAATCATCTAGACCTTGAAAATCTTTTTCTGCAACTCGTTCGTACAGTTGAACCGCCGGCGGTACCGGAAAACCTGTCGGAGATGGCGAAAGATTTCTTGAGCAGGTGTTTCTTGATGGACCCTGATGAGAGGTGGACTGCCAACATGCTTCTCCTCCATCCTTTCGTGTATCCCAATATGATGAATTTTGGTGATGGAGAGATGGTGTCAGGAGATTCTTCGAGAAGTGGTCGAGTTTACATAAAGATTACTTAGGATGTTTTTTGCATGTAATGATATCTAAAGGTTCTCGTTATTTTGAAAGTAATGATAATATTTTAATGACTGTATCAGCTAATTTTTATAAACGTAGGAATGTCAAATTAATTGGAAAAACTATATTTGAATTTTCTTATAAAAAAAATAGCTCAAGAAATGAATTTATTAAGTATTGTAAAATTAATTTGTTAATTTTCCTTTAGAACCATCCATCATTATCAATATACATATATATATATATATATATATTCGGATGGCGCGCGAATTTGAGTCCGCTTAAGAAATATCACAACGGTCAAATTTTCAAACCAACCCTACTGCAGCATTAAACTCACGCCACCGAATTACACTTGTCTGTAATAGCATCAGTTTTATCACTTAATACACATGTCTATACAATATCATCTGCTACAATGGATTATCTGTAATTCTTTTTTTTTGAACTTTTTTTCCTTGGTTTTGATGTTTAAACTTGAGAGAAATTCTCCCTACATATATTTAATCTATTTTATTAAAATTTTCTTATCGTCACCCAGCTCCTGAAGATTTAAAGTTCAATATGAAAAAAATGCTATTAAGATCTTCGAAGCCCTATAAGCTTGAGTGTCTGGAAGTGAATTTAGTTTAGATTACAATCAAGGAAATATTATTATTAGAGGAAGATAGGGTTTAACTTGCCAGAGGAGCAGTCTGTGATTTCTTTTTCCTAAATTTCTATGATAACTATCGGTTTAGATTTTCATCTAGATCACATGGATCCAACACTGTACATTATGTGTTTATGTTTTACTTTAACATTGCATTCTTATTTTTGACATATTAATAAAACTTTCCTGTTTTGGTCGATTAATCTTGAGTTATGCTTACAGAGCTTCGCTTCATAATATTATAGATCTAAATCTTAAAACAGTGAATCCCACAAAAACCCATTTCAAATCTTCTTCTCCAATCATAAATGAACTTTCCCGATAGTATGCAACTGTTTGTGTTCATTCACCTCACCAACTAATAATATATATATATATATATATATATGCTAAACTCGAAGTTACAACATCAATTACTACTTTTAACTGAAATGACTAATATATCATTTTCTTTATGAAAGTATACTCAGAATCGACTGTGTTCCCATACGTCATTATCTAAAAGTTGTATTATATATATTCGCGCAAACTAGCGGGAACATGCACGGTATAATTGATGGAACTTTCTCTTCCAACTAATAAATTTGTGGGGTACATCTAACAATCATACTTGAAGTTATTGCCCGCTTCAATCCAATAATTAGCTTATATCAGTCATGTCTGTTAATCAATGTCTTGCCCGATCCAAGAATCAAACACCAGAAAGATGCTTCACATAAAAGTCTTGGAATATCGTGCTATAAATCCTTTGGCATGTAGCTCTTGAAGGATTCTAATGGCAGCTTCTGATAATTAAACTCAACATAAGAAAAAGATAAGATAAATTCAATAATGCCTTATGAAAACCTAGATAGAGATAAGAAAACTTTTCTTTGGGTCACAAGAAAATTCTCACTTTTAATATATACCCAGATTATCTCACACACCTACTTTCTTGTTCAGCTACCTCTCAAGCGGTATACTTTTTTCCCCAAGTCCCACTTCTCAAATGAAAATGAGACTCTTAACGTTTCTCTCATTAACTTTACCAATGAATTTTATCTGGTCATTGACTTTGAATCGGTAACGAGAACAAGTTTATAGAACTAAACTCTCTCATTGATCTTCAATGAGGTTCCAAGTGCCAACAAAGAGCTACTCAAAATTTGCCATAGAACTAGTCTAAATCCTTAATTAACATATGAATGAGATGAATTACAGTTTTCAAAATCTTCTATGCTAGCAAGATATATGAACCATAACTAAGAAAAATGTGTACAATAGACCAGAGTGACGGATGCCGTTGGAACCAAGTCACCACTTGCAGTTCAAGTTGAAGGAAGAAGAATCCAAGAATAGAGCTCCTGATTATCATTAGAAGCAGATAAAACCATCAATCTCTCCAGGAACATTTAAGCATCAGTAATTGAGTTCAATTGATAGTTGTAAGGTCTTTTAACCTTTGAGGGTTAAAGTTCATTTTCCTTCATCCAGCTAATTTACATTTTCAAACAAATATTACAATTGGTGATAATTCTCACTATTTGTCATGCTTCTGAACTGTTTTAATGCATGAACATCTAGGTATAGCAGTCCCCACTCCCCGTCAACATGAACAATTCAACTATAAAAATGTAATACAAGAGCCAGCAGACAAATTTATCTTATACAACAAAAACAAACTGCACAAGAATAAAGAAGCGGTAACAGCGTCTTTTGGTGAAAAATGCATAATTACAAGCAAGAGAACTCTGAGGTTCTGCAAGTTCTGCAGGTTTTGCCTGTCCCAGAATACAGGAAGTCCAGAAGCCAAAGTTTGGAAATCAAAGATTCTTTAGAGCCTGCATTGAACAGGCAGTAGAATAGTTCTGATTATTTCCTTTTAAAAAGAACATATTTGGCTTGTGCTGGAGTTGGCTGATGAATCGACTAAAGATAGGTTTGATGGCTAAAGAATGTAGAAGAGGTGTAACATCTACATAAATGTCACCCTAGATTTATTGATAGAAGGTCCAGTAATAATGACATCAAACAAATCAACTTCCAAACTCCCATGATATAAACTCTTCTTCCCTATCAACACCGCAACAGAAAAGATAAACACCTTACTTCAGATAGATTAATGATGTCTACCATCATATAAACTCTTATCCCCTATCAACACTGCAACAGAAAAGATAAACCCAAAAGCAAGCTTTCTAAGATAAATTGGAAGAATGCAGGGGCATAGAAACTGAACAGAAGAAAAAAAGTAACCCATCAGCCCCTTCAAAATAAATCATCTTTCATACCCACACTAGAAATGCAATTTATATGGGCAAACAAGAAGGAAAACTAAGAATCAGATTATGGAAACAAAAATACCATGTGCAAAACATCTAACAAAGAAATAAAAATGGCCACAATCCACTAACAAAACGCTGAATAAGATTTATATAGGAAATTATATATATATTGGGGGAAGGGAAGGGGGTGGGGGGGGAGAGGAGGTAGAAGCAAAAGGAATTCGGCATCTTACTTTTGTTCATGGTTCATGGTAAACATCATGAGATGGTCTTTCTAAATGTTATAACCTTTCACTGCATAGCTGGTGCAGCCCAAGTAATCTCGTTTCATCATTGTCCATACTGCATTTGTTGAGGATAACCAAGCAGCTTTTTGAATAGAGGAAGGAAGCCAATTAAGGCTATTTGGAGTTGTTCTGAGCTATTTAAACGAAGACCAACTTGTCCTGCCCCTCTGTTATTCAAATTGGCACGAGCAATTAAG